AATATTAAATTATTCATTTAATTTATTTATAAAAAAAATAAAATATATAAAAAAAAATTCATAATATAAATAAATAACTTTTTACATTTTTAGAAAAAAAATTATTTTGAAAAAAATAAATATAAAAATAATAATACAAATAAATAAAAATATGGAATAGGTTGAAAACAACAATTAAATATAATTAGAAACATTACATAATTCTTAAAAATTATAAGATAATATAGATGAAGAAGACATAAAAATAGATGAAGAAATTCAAAAAAGCAGCAAATTTCAATCTTTAAAAAATATTGATACATTCGCCTGTCAATCTGAAGAGAAAAAAGATGATATTTAAAATCAAAAAAATGAAGAAATAATTGATTTTACTCCTAGATATTTTTTAAAAAATGAAAATTTAGATATTCGTACAAAATCTATTTCCTTTAATACACAAATTTTAAAAGATAAAATGGAGGAAGATAATATTAAAGATTATAGTAAATAAAAAAGACTTTCTTTCAGCAATAATAGGGCATTTCCTTCCTATTCTATTCTTAAAAATAGTCCTATGGTGTAGCCTGGTGAATTTAAAAAGCTTAAGAATATAGAAAAGGTGATTCATTAAAAAATTAAAGAAAATGAAGAAAAGAAAGAATCGGATAGTGATGATGAAAATACTGATGTCAAATTCGTTGGAGAGGCAATAATTTAGGAAACTGTTGCCTTCAAACATACTTATTGTCCTGAAGAGAATCCCAAAAAATCAATTTTGTAGAGGAAGTCATGTTTTTCTGGGCTAAGTCAGGAATAATAAGGCTTGGTTTTTGAAAGAAATAAAAAAAAGAATGTCTTATGATTTTAATAATTTAAAGAATGTAGACGGTCACGTAATTAAAAAAAGTTACTCTTCATTTACAAAAATTTTGAATTAAAATGAATAAAAAATAAAATCGGAGGAAGAAAATTCTTAGAATATAAGTATAGAAGAAGAAAATTAGGAAAAAATAGTTCATTTTAATATTGATGAAAAAAATATAAATAAAAGTGGACATTCTTAAAGTATTTCACCTAAATAGGAAATTTAGTGTATTACTCCGAAAAATATTATGAAAAAACTAGTTTTTCATAAAAAATTAGTGAATATAGTGTGTAAGAAAATCCTTCAGAAGAACTTTTTTTAGTTAATTGGAATTAAATAAGAGAAAATTATATTGATTAAGCTATTTTTTACTTATCAGTATATTTTTTTTTTATAAATATAATTTTTATATTTTTTTTGTAATAGAGAATCAATATTAATAAATTTTAAATAATTTTTAAAGATGGAATGGATGATTAACTATTTTGTGAAGTAATTGAAATTCTATAATCTAAAAAATTAGGGAATTCTTTATTGAAATTAATTATTTAAAATTTAACAAAAATATAAAATTTTAATTAATTAATTTTGAATAATTCTCATTTATATCAAAGTAATTATTATATATTTTTGCTTTTAACTTATTTAATTTTTATAGAAATTCAAAATATATTTAGTTAGCTAGAAAAAATTCGTTTGATTGATGATGGTGAATTATATAACTTGCATAAACTTTATTTATCTCCATAAAAATGATTTGACTTTTAAAAATATTTAAATAATAAATTCATGTTATTTTTTTTTTTATATAATTTTTTTTTATTATATGGTCAAAAAATAACTTTTAAATAACATAAAGCAATATTAATTATCATGTCTTAATTTAAAAAATTTATAATTAAATATAATAAACATATATAATTACTTTTATATATATTATAATTAATTATATTTAAAATAAATTTTTTATCATAAAACTAATAAAATTTATTTATATATTTATAAATAAAAAAAATATAATTATTTATTTTATCATAAAATAAATCAAATCAAAGTTTTCTGGAATTCAGTAAATGTAATTTCATTACCCCCGTCAACATTAAAAAGATCAAAAATATTTTTAATTTCATTTTAAGGTAATTTTTTATCTATAACAAGCACTAATTTAGTAAACTCCTCCAAATTCAAATTGCCGTCTTTACTTTTATCAAAGTTATTAAAAATCTACTTCAAATTTAAATTATTAGTAGTAATAATTCTCTTAAGTTCATTAATGAGTTTTCTAGCTTTTTCTTAGTCCGGTTTAAACTATGAATCTTTTGAATTTCCATAATTAAGAATATGATAAAATTCTTCATAAGAGACATTTCCATCGCCGTTTTTATCAAATTTATCAAAAATAGGTTTAATTTCATATTATTTCATTTTTGGGGCTACTATCTTTATCAAGCTGACAAATTCTTAAAAATTTAAACTTCCTCCAGCATCTTTATCGAAGTTTTAGAAAATTAATTTCAAATCTAAATTATTATTCTTAATAATTTCTTACAAATCAACAATTACACTTGATACTTTATCTTAAGTATCTGCAAAATCCCAAAATTTAAAGACATCTTCGAATTCTTTTTTAGAAATTTGACCATCTTTAGTTTAATCTAATGTCTTAAAAACATGTTCGGATTCATAATAAGTAATTCTAGGGTCAATACTACTCAGTAATTAGTGGAATTCAAATAAATCAAGAGATCCTCCTTTGTTTTAGTCAAATCGAGAGAATATTTCATCTAAATTTACATTTTTATTTTAAACCATATATTACATAGATCTGATAATTAATTATGCTTTTTAATCAAGTTATACTGCTGGCTTAGTTTATTGCCCAGTCTATAATTAGAGAATCGGATGAGAAAATATATCATCCCAATTAATTCTATCCTTTTCATTTAAAGTTAAACATTTTACAATGAAATCACGAGTATTTTATCCTATTTGCTTATCATAAGGAAATTTCAAAGGAAAACTTTTCATATTTCTTAAATAACTCTATACATCTCTAGCTGGCCAAGGACTTTATATATATATATATTAAATAATTAATTTAATTTTTTACGTTTTCCCAAATAACATTTCATAAAACATCATACCAATACTCCATATATCAGATTTAGCTGTATAAGGAGTATTTTCAAGTAATTAAGGGGCCATATAGAGTGGAGTTCCTACGCACTCTTTAATTAATTATCTTCCTTATATATCAGCCTTAGTAGCGAAACCGAAATCCGAGATTTTAAAGCAGTCGTTTTTAACAAGGGCGTTTTCAGGTTTTATATCTCTATGTATAAAGCCATGAGAGACCATTTCTCTAAAACCGTTCATTAGTTAATTAAGAATTTCTATTGATTATTTTTCGTCTAATGTGCCTCCTTTATTTGAAATATATTCACGTAAATCACCATTATTACACAATTCTAATACTATTAATGTTTTACTCTATTTGTGTATATATATAATATAAATTTTAAATATTTAACACATTATTATTTTAATAATTGTTTTTTATAAATAATATAAACAAAAAAGATATAAAATAATAAACTTTTTATTTTAAAAAAATTATAGAAAATAAAAAATTAATAAAAAATTTCTTAATTATATATATATATATATAAATATATATATCAAAATTTTTTTTTTTTATAAAATTACTTAGTCTGATTCAGTATGATATAATTTAACTATGTAATCTGATTTTAACTATTTCATAATGTTTACTTCGTTTTCTAAACATTCTTTCATGTATTTATCTTTGAACATTGCTGTATCCATTTATTTTACAGCTACTAATTCTCCAGTTTTAATATTTTTACCTCTATATACTCTACCGAATGAGCCTTCTCCTAGTAATGATTAGCGAGAAGTATCGTATACATAATCTCCTGTTTACTTTTGCATTTTTTTTATTTTTTTAATTTTTTATTTTTTTATTTTTTGTTTGTTTATTTTTAATTATTATATCATCATAAATATCATAAATAATCTTATTATATATTATATATATATATATATATATATATATATAAATATATATATATATACATATTTATATTTATATTTATTTAAAAATTTTGGTAAAAATATATATTAATTATAATTAAGATAAAATACACTTTTTCCCTTTATATTAATTAATAAAACTTCAAACTTAAAATATAAATATAAAAAAATAATTAGATAACCTGTATAATATTTTTTTTTTTTTCTTTATTATAATTTTAATTTTTCTTTATTTTAGATTAATATTAAAATGCTATTTTTATATTAGTTTAAAAGACAAAATAAAATATTATTAAAATCTAGGATATTGAATATATTTATAAATTTTATCATAAAAAAATTAAAACATTATTAGCTATTTTATAAATATAAATAAACTAATATAATCGAATATTTTTATATATTTATATTTTAAAACTAACATTCATTATAACCAATATAATTTTAAAAAAATATATTTAGATTTATTTAAATATTAATTTCAATAATATTAATTATATTATTATTATTATTATATATTTTTCATTTATTAATACTAATTAATTTTTAGCACAATTATGTGATTCTTTCTATTTCTTTTTAACTTCCTAAGTAAGGTGTTTAGTTTTAAATATTATAGTTATTCTCCTTATTTTCAGTTAATAAACGTTTTTAAATACTTTTTTGAGTATTTTCTTTTTCTTTTTATAGTTTTGTCAATTAACTTTGGACTTATTTCAATTGATTCTTTAAGTCTTTAATTTCTTCATTCTTAGAATTTATTTCTTCGTTTCTTTGTTAAGCAATAGTACTTTTTTCAGTAGCAATAGTTTAATTAAAATCGGCTTATTTCCATTCTAAATCTTCTTTTTCTTATTTAAATTATTTCAATTATTAATTAGTTTATTATAACTCCTTCTCTAATTTTTGGAATTCTTATACTTAAGAAGTAAGTGATTAAATTTATTCTTCATACTTATATTTTAATTAAGTCTTTATTTCTTAATTTTCTTGATTTAACATTAATATATTCTATTATAACTATTTTAATTTCTAATCTTCTGGTTATACTTTGTTTTCTTTTGCAGCTTTATTTGTAATGTTATTATTTTAAACTATTTACTGCTCTGGTTTTTTTGTTTATTATAATAATTATTATAATTTATGTTTTTCTTCTTATAAAATAGAGTATAATTTTCTTTCTTCAACCAATTTTTATTGCATTGAAATATTTTCTTGCTTTAATTATTAAAATTGAGTGTATGAAATCGAATTATTATTATTTTATTCCTATAGCTATTTTTGTATAAATAAACATTAATTTTAAATATTTCTATATATATTTTTTATACTTGCTTTAAAGATTCTGTCTTCTTTTAATGTTCTTCGTCTTTTTAGTTAATAATTCTAGATAGTTCTTAACTTTCATTAAGTAATTTCTCTATTTAAGATTCCAAGTTTTTAATTTCTTAAGAAATTCTTGTATTTAATTAATTTAAATTAGAAATTTAATCATTTAATTGAATCGCTTCTTATTCCAAAACTTTAATTTTTTCTTCTTTTAATTCTAGATTATTAGCTAATTATTTAATTTATTCTTAAATAATTTTATTTTATTATTAATATTCTTCTTTTAATTTCTCATTGTTTTAATTTAATTCAATAACCTATTAATAATTTTATTACAACTCTTTGTATTAATAAGAAAGGTTTTTTTAAGTATTTTCGAAATTTAGTTAATTATTTTAGATATCCTATTCATATTATTAATTTTTCTATGTTTGTTATTATATTTATATATTCAATTAAATTATACTTTCTTGCAATTTTTAATTGTTCTATTCAAATTCATTTAATTTACTTTATAATTATTATTAATTTTATTATTATCCGTTTAATTATTTTTATATTACTTCTTTATCTTTCAAAATTTACTCAATCTAATGTTATTTTTCATTTTTTTCGTTTTCTAATTATATAGTTTACTCTTAGAATTGTTAAAGTTTTTAAGACTCAGCTTAAGATAGTTCTTTTCCATAATTAACCAATTAACTTATTTATGCTTGTAAGTCTTTATTATCTAAGTTTAATTATTAAATATTTTCTTCTAGTTTTTCTTTTTCCTTTTAAAGTTGCAATAATTAAGAAGTGTTTTTATTTGAAACGTCTTACATTTCCAAAACAAATTATTCTTTTTAAAAATTCAATTATTTAATATTATTTTCTAATTCTTCAATTTTAGATTAGAGTTATTGTTTTTAATTAATCAATTCATCATATTTGGTTTATAATTCGATTTATTTTTCATTATTTTATTAAATTTATTCATTTAGTTAATTATTGACTTATATAATAGTTTAGTTTATGGTATTTTAACTTTCATTTTAACATTGATATTTCTTCATATTCAAATTTGCTTCTCCCAATTAAATATTTAAGATGTTAATATTCTGTTATTTTTCATCTAATTACTATTGATTATGTTAATTTATGTTTTCTATATTTTCAATTTTTTTTTATAAATCTTCATATTGTTTACTTTTGTTTTAGTAATTTAATTAAAATTCTTATAATTATGTTTGTAATTATTCTTATTATTCTCTTATTTCTTAAAGCTAATTTTTATAATTTTCAATTGTTTAATAATTATATGTGATTTTTTGGTTTAGTTATTAACTTTCCTATTATAAATTATAATTTTAATCTTTTAATTATTATAATTCTGATTATTATTAATTATTTTATTCTAATTATTAGTTGTATTATTGCTATTATTAGTTGTTTTGTCCTTTTAATAATTATATTTCTGATTACTATTGATTTATTTAGTCTTTTAATAATTAATGTATTTCTTATAAATTTTTATTTTAGTCTCTTAGCTATTGAGTTTCTTATTATATATTATTATTTTATTATTTTAACTATTGATTTTCTCCTTATTAAACTTAATTTTATTCTTTTAATTATATAACTTCACCTTATAAAATGTTGCTTTAAGTTTTTAATGTTTAAGTTTCTTCTTATAAATTATTATTTTAGTCTTGTAATTATTATCTTACTTACTATTAAAGTTAGTTTTGTTCTTTTAATTATACGATTTCACCTAGTAATTGACTACTTTAAACTTGATATGTTTAATTCTTTTCATTTAAATATTAAGTTTCTTATTATAATTATTAACATTCTTATTATTATTATTGGTTTAATAATTTAAACTATTAGTTTACATCTTTTAAATCATTATTTTCATTTTTTAAGTATTATATTTTTTCTAATAAATGTTTATTTTATTATTATTCTTTTTCTCTTAAATTATTAACAGTAGTTAATTATTCAACTGTATTTTATAATTCTTATTAAGAATTTTATAGATGTTATTATAATTAGTTAATTTATAATTATTTTTCTAAGTTAATGTTATCAAATTTTAATTAATTTAATCCAATGTATTTTTATTAATCTTCATTTTCTTAGGTAAGAGTTAAGATTTTTTAAAGAAGTTTTTCGTTTTCTTGTTAAAATTCTAATTATTTTTGTATTATTGTTGATTTTTCATTTATTAAATTTGAGTGGGTTTTTTATAATTCTTCGTTTTATTAATTTTTTTAACTTAATTCAGAGTTCAAATAGTCTATTTTTTCTTAATTTTATTCTTTTTAATATTAAAAGCTGATTTCTAATGCATTATATTGTCTTAGTAGATTTTATAGTTATTCTTATAATTAATTATTTTGATTATTATTTTCTTATAATTGATTAAAATAATTTTCTTTTTCATTTTACAGAGTAATTTATTATTAGTAAAGTTGATTTAATTTTTCATTCAACTCTTCTATATATTATAAATGTGTTTATCTTTGTTATTATAATGTATCAATTTATAATTGAGTATTTCCTAAATTTTATATTTATTCAGCATTTTAGATTTCCATCTATTTCAAAAGTTTTTAATTTTAGGTTTATAAATTACTATTTTATTCTTAAAGTTCATATATTTAATTAGTTAATTGTTGGTTTTTTAAAATAAATTCTTCAGTTTTTTATTCAATTTAATTATGCTCTAATTAATTACTAGACATATTAGTTTTTTTTTTTATATATATATTTTTTTTAAATTTTAAATTTTATATTTAATATTTGTATTTATGATATTTCTTTATTTTAAATTAAAAATAAGTAAATTTATAATTTTATATAAATAGCAAATATTCGTTAACTTTGATAAAATACATATAATAGAAAATATATAGTAAAAAAATACGTATTATAATTATTTTTATGATATAGGTTATATACACATGAATTATGAAAAATATAGTAATGTATTTTTGTTTTTCTGAATTTTATTCTAATAAACTCTATATATAGATTATTAGTTATTATATATAAATTGATAATAATAATTATAAATACAAATTTAATAAGTAAACAAAAGAAAAATTTAAAATAAATAGATATTACATGAAATTAATTTTTGATAAAATCACTTATTCAATAATATTAAACAATTTTTTATTTTTAAATATTAAATATTAAATTTTATTTAATTAGTAAATATTATTTATTATTTAAAAACATTTAATTAAATATTTATATAATAATATTAAAAAATTTTTAATTATTTTATTATTTTGTATTGTTTTTATATAAAAATAAATTAAATATATATATTTTTTTAAATATAAAGATCTTTATTTATTTTACTGAATTTATGTTTAATAATCAAAAGTTTATATATTATAATTTAATATTTAATTATATTTAAATTAATATAATTAAAATAATATTAGAGTAATTATAAATAACTTTTTCTTGTTTAAATTTCATAAAAATTATTTAATTGATACTTAATAAAATTTATTTATAAATAATATATCTTTCGTATAATTTTAAATGTTTTCTCGAAGCTAAAAAAAAGAAAATTAAAAAATCGGTGCTAATTATCCAGTTTAAAATAATACAGAATTTTAAAATTCAGTAATTTTATTTATTTTTTTAAGTAAATTTTAAAATAGCCAAATTCATAGGATAATCAAATATAGGAAATTAATAAAAAAATTGAATTATATTAAATAGATAGATGTTTTAATCATTGTGTAAAAACTTTTATGGAAAAGTTATTATCTCCTTTTGAAAAAGAATGTTTTAATGGTTGTTTATAAAATTTGTATGCATTTAAAATAGAGGTCGATAATTCTTTTGAATAATTTTGAAATATATTTATTAAATAAATTAAAATTTTGTTAATATGTTTTTTATTTTTTATCTTAATTGCGATAACATAATTAAATATAAATTATTGTACACAAATATATTTTAAAGGCATTTTTATATTTCAATAAGATTATATATAAATTTTTTAAAAAAATTGTCAAAAATTATATTTATATATAAAAAAATTTAATTGCATATTAACCTTTTGTAATAATATTATATTTATATATATTGATTTTAAAAAAGATAAAAAATCCATTATTTTTAATCTTAAAAATGTATTTAAATAATAAATACATACTTTTTATATCTATTATTTTCTTTAATCTAAATTAAAAAAGCTATTTAAGAGATTAAAACATAAAAAATTATAGGAAAAATCGAATACATTTTTTTATTTTTTCTTTTGATTATTTAAATAATTTAGAAACATAAACATTCTTAGTATATTTTATTAATTAATGGAATTTTTAAATGATTTAAAAACAAATATATTTTAAAAATTATATTCAATTTAAAAACAAAAGATATTTTGATTAATAAATTTATATGTAAATAATTTTGAATTTATATCTAAATATACTTTAAAGTATTTTTTCAAAAACTAACCAAAAATAAAAAGGAAATATTAATACATTTTTTATTTTCTATTTAATTTAAAAAAAAATACAAAAAGAAAATAATGTTAAAAAGTATTATATAAATATATATATCTATTAAAAAACATTTTTATTTTCAATCTAAGCAAATATCGAAAAAATAAAATTTATTTGAGATTTCTTTTTTAAATAAGTTATAATTAAGGCCTTTAAGATTGGTGTTAAACTTCCCTTTCTTTATTGATAAGGATTAGCAGTATTAAAATAAATGTCCAAAAATTAACTCTAATGCAAATAATAAATAGTAAGTAAAAAATTATAATTGCGTAAAATATAATAAATTCTTAAATTTTAATCAATAAAAGTAGCATTAAAAAAATTCTAAATATGAAAAAATTAGATATAATTTTATATAAAAAATAAACAATAACAAAAAGTTATATTAATATTGATAATTTACATTTGCCAAAAATAAACATAAATTCTAGAAGAAGAACCAAAAATCTAAAAAAAAAAAAAAGTGACAATACTTCGTATTTAAATTAAACACTTATATAAAGTTAATGAATATTTAAAATAAATTGATATTTATATTAAAAAAACTACATTGTACTATTATTTTTTTAATTAATAGTTAGCTTATTTTAAAATGAAATAAAAACAAAAGAATAAATAATTAATTTATTAATTTTTTCATTTTCCCCACATATTTTTAAATCTGAAAAACGGATGGCCCATATCGTCTTCTTCTTGTTATTATCTTTATTATGATTATTATTATCTTCTTTATTATTATTATTTTTATTATTAATTATTTGTATTCAAATTAAGTTCCGGATTTATTTTATCTTCTACTTTTTATAAGTTTTCAAACGCTTCTTTTTGTTATTTATTGATGTTTTTTGGAATGTAAATTTTCAAATTGACTATATGATCTCCTAAATCATTTTAATTAGGAGGTAAATTACAGATACCCTTTAAATAATTATTTAAATAATAAATATATGCAATTTACCTATCCTTTAATTCTTATTTATTCTCCATGTTAAGTTCCTGGTTTTATTTCTAATTCTTTTTCCCCGCTTAATGTTTTTATTTTAATTTTATTACCCAAAACAGCCTAAAGATTATATATATATATATTTTTTGAAATAAAAATATAATATAATTTTACATCAGTTAATGTAATATATTATGTGGTAATAATATCATAATTATCCCTTCCGAAATAAGGATCGGGTCTTACGCTTACTTTAATAATTAAATCTCCTAAAGGTCCATTATTTTTACCAGCATTTCCCTATTTAAGGAAAAAAATACATATATATAAAAAAAATTATTATTACTTTTCTAGATATCCTTAAACTTTGTCCATGGTTAACTCCTTTTGGAAAAGTGACTTCTTCTTCAGTTTTAGTTCTAGCTATTCCTTCACCTCTACACGTAGTGCATTAATTTTTTATAATTTCTCCTACTCCCATGCATTTATCGCACATCATTTACATTATCATAGGTCCTTATCTAATATTAATAGTTCCTTTACCTCCACATGTACCACATTTTGTGGGAGAAGTTCCTGGTTTGCACTTTGAGCCATTACAAACTGTACATTTGGTCTTTCTATCGAATTAAATTTTTTTATTTGCTCCATTTACAGCTTCCATGAATTAAATTTCCATATTAATTTGAATATCCTCACCTCTTTAAACTCTTTATGTATCTCCTCCCATATTAAAAAAACTAGAAAAATCTCCAAATATATCCTCCATAGAAGGACCAGCACCTCCTCCTCTGAAAAAGTCACCTCCAGCTTACTATTATTCATCTCCATTCATTCCTGTTTAATCATAAACAGAGCGTTTTTGTTCATCTTTCAAAGTATCATAGGCACTTTTTATTGGTTTTATTTTATATTTTTTTTAAGTTTTTTACTTGTTTATTTCAGATAGTTTTTATTTAGATGCTTCCTGGTCATTGGGGTTTTTGTCTGGATGATGTTTTTGAACGGCTTTATAATAAGCCTTTTTAATCTCATCTTGTGAAGCACTTTTTGGTACACCTAATATTGCTTTTTTTTTTGAGTTAAATATATTATATTTCTTTATTTTGCCTTACAATATAAATCCTTTTTTGAAGCAAAATCGTATTTATGTTTAAGGAATTAAAATGAATTAGGCTTTTATATTTAAATGAAATTTTTTATTAAGCTTTTCAAGAACATAAATAATTTTTTTATTTTTTTTGTATTAATCTATTAAAAATAATTTATAATTTTTTTAATTTGTATTATTGTTTTTTGTATTTTATTTTTAATCGCCTCAAAAAAGAAAATTCTAAAATAAGTCTGAATTTAGAAACAAATTAATTATAATTTGATTTTAATAAATACTAAAAAAATGTTATATTATTTAAGTATTAATTTTATATTTGATTTTAAAAAAGATAAAATAATTTTCTTTATTCAATTATTATATTATTATTTTTATATTATAAAAATGTGCTTATATGATAATTTTTTATACAATTCCTTAAATTCTATATAAATATATTTTTGAAACTTTTTAAAAAATAAAATATTTAAATTAATTGCAATTAATAAAAAAAGAAAAAAAACTAAACAAAATAAAATAAAAAAATCATAATAAACAAATATTTTAAAAAAATGAATAAAATAAACAACTAAATATTTCAAGATTAAAATTATTTATAAAACCCTTATTTAGTCAATTAATCTTACACACACAAACCATCCATAGGGGTATCTCGTTTAACTCAATAAACAGGAAATCCAAGCCCCATAAACAATGTGAATTAAAGTCAAGTATTTTCTCAATAATGTATTTACCACCCCGAAATGATAATAACGAACTTTTGTAAGAAATCTTTAATGCCCTTATGTCCCAAATGCATAACTAATTATTTAAAAACTCGCGAACAAGCAAACCAACCTGTCGAAATCGAAAATATAGATAAAGTCTAATTAGAATGTAAAGAGGCAGTATAAGAACTAGAAGAATTATATACATGTAATCTCTAAAAACTTCGCGATGTAAAAGAGAAAAAAATAAATATTCACAATTCATTAAGTGAGAAAATACTTTTTGCAAAAAATAAAGTAATAAAACTCGTGGATAGTTTTTTTGAAAATCTAGAAAGAGATTTAAATTAATAATTAATGATAAAATAAAATTAGTTTGAAAAAGAATTAAGTATGGCCGAAAATTTTGCTGTATAAAAATAATAAGAACTTAATGTAATTAATTAAAAACTAGACGGTCCTAAATGCTTAAAACATATTTTGAGGCTTTTGAATGAAAATTATTTTTCTGAAAGTCAGAAATATCACAAAGAATGTGAATTATTTATACAAATGTTAAACAAAAAAAGTGCAGATGTGATTACTAATGATAATAGTTTGTATAATTTAAATATTGAGATGGCTAAATTTATTAGTATAAAAAATTCTGAATTAATTCTGACAGAGTAAGATTTTAATTTTAATGAAAATAATCCTTATACATCTACTGTATATGCAAAACCTAATTTATTGGCTTAATCTCGCTTAAATAATATTAATAATAATAATAATGCCATTTAAAATTAAATTTAAAAATCGATTCCTTAATAAAGAACTCCACTAATGGGAGATAATTTGAGAAATTCTTAAAGTCCGATAAAATCACATTATTAGGTTGGATATAAACCTCCTATATTTTAATAATAGCATTAATAATAATAATAATATAAAGAAGAATTAAAACCAGTTTAAATTTCAAAATTAGTAGGAAGTGTAAACAATTAAAAGTCGAATAATAATAATTCTATCTTAAATTAATATACTAAACAAGAATTGTAACCTGTTTCAAAACAAAATATTGTAAACAGAAATTATTTTGATTAATTATGTCATCAGAAATATATCCATTATTTTTAGCCTTAAACTAATGATTTATATTTATTAGATATTTCCAATATAATTAATGATAAACAAATAATTAATCCAACTTGGTAAAAAATTCCTTTAGAAATAGGATTTAAAATTTTACACGACCATTCATCTATAATAACTCCTTAAGGGTATTTCATTATTTAATATTTATATTTTGTGTATATATATATATATATATATATATATATATATATATATATATATATATATATATATTTATATATATATATATTCATTATTAATTTATTAAAGAGATATCTATATATGTGGTGGTATAGATACTAATAGTATGCAAGTTTCAAATGAATGCTTTAAAGTTAATTTAAAATATAGAACTTTAGAAAAAAAGACTAGTATGAAAATTCAGAGATTTTTACATAGCGTAGTATATTTAAATAATGCACTTTATGCTTTAGGTGGTTTTGATTAAAATCATTAAATATTAGATAAATGTGAAAGGTGGAATTTTTCTGAGAACCGTATTTTGAAAATAAAATTATATGAATATATATATATATATATATATATTATATATTTATATATTTATATATTTATATATTTATTTATATAGAATGGCTTAGAATCGCTCCTATGGTTGGTTAAGGTGCTTAAATGGGGGTTTGCACATTTAAAAGTAAATATATTATTGCTTTTTCTGTTGCTGTTCATCCTAAGGTTAACCTTTTGTAATAATACGATCCTTTGTTTGATACTTGGTAGGAAATAATGGTATCGTTAGAAAGTAATTTGATTAATTCTGAATTTTTAATACGTCCTTTATGTGGTATAGTGTAAATTAACGATAATGGAACTCTTTTAATTTTTGGGGGTGACGAGTAATCTAGAGAATAAAATATGCAAACTCCTAATAATTATGTTTTTACATTAAAAAGTGATATAGAGTCTTTAAATTTTTCAGTTGGAGTAGGAAGAAATTAAGTAGAATTATATAATTGTCCTATTAATGGAGCTAGTTATTGTTAAAATGGTAAAATTTACACTATTAGTAAGGATAGAGAATAAAGTAAATTAATTGTTTTTTCTAATTAAAATTGGATAAAGTAATAATGAGATGATTATTCGTAAATAAATAATTTTTTTTATAAAAATATTTTAGAATTATGGAAATTAATAATTTATTAAGCATTTTTAAATCTAATATATTAAAATAAAAAATATTAATTATTTTGTTTTTTTATATAGTATATTTTTTTATTATACATTATTTTATAAAGCGTTTGAATTTTAAAAAATAACGCTTTTGCTTATAAAAAAACGCTGGAATTCAGCAAATAAACGCAATAAATAAGAAAAAAACGTTGCGGATTAAAAATAAATAATAAAAAAAAATATAACCCAAAATAACGCAAAATAAAAATAAACGCTAATTATATTATAAAAACTAAAATTTATTATGAAGTATATAAAATGAAATTATGACTAAAATATAATCATAATAAAAATTTATATGTATGTTAGAATTATTTAAGTACTTTAATAATAAAAATAATATGATTTAATTAAAATGATTTATTTTTATAAATATACCAATTATTTTGATTATATATATAGATTAAATTAAAATTTAGAATTCATTTTTAAAAATTATAAAATCTATTTTTTTAATTTTTTTTCTTTTTGTTGAATAAAAAAATAAATTATTTTGGTAATTTTTAAAGTCAATTTTAGCAAAATAAAATAATTTGAATAATTAAAAATAATATATATAAAAAAAATTAAATAATTTTTATAAAATAATTTAAATTTAGATAATATTTAAATTTATCAATAAATATTATTGACTAAAAATAGTAAAATATATTTATATATATATATATATATATATATATATATATATATAATTATTTAATAATTTTACAAATATATTTATTCATATTTATTTTTAATATAAAATATCTATTATTTACTCTTGAGTTAAATATTTAGAGGCCCAACCTTCTAATTTATCAATATTAAATTCTGTTTTTTAATATTAAATATAATAATTATAAAATTTTCTTTATATTTACATTTAAATTTGGAAGAGAAATCATCAATTTATTCTTATCTCATAGATTATTAATCTTAAGCTATAATATTTATTATTTAAGTATTAAAAATAATTTATTTATTTTTCTTACTTGATTTACTTACTAATTTAAAGGAAGAAATATTATTTCTTTATATATTTTACGAAAAATCTTTTTATAAAAAGCAATTGTAAATTCTTCCTAATTTTTAAATAATTATTATAAATAAAAATAATTTTACTTGATTTCTTATTTATATTGTTCTTATATTTTTTATTTAATAAATATTATTTATTAAGATCATTAAAATTTATAGTTGATTATACATTTTTTATTCTATTTAGCATTTTCTTTATTGATAAATGATAATTTTATTAATATTTTTAAAATATTTTACATAATTTTCGTTTTCAAGTATGTTTTAATTTATTATTTTGTGTATCTTAAAATTCATTTAGTATTAATTTTTGCATTGCTTACTTTTTTGGTCATAACTAGATTATTTTTATTTTATTTATATAATTCTATGCATTAGTGATACATTTTCTACTTCTTCATTTTACTTTTTTTCTTTTTTTTTAATATTTTTTTTAAAACTTTATTATTTTAGTATTTTTTTTTTTAGTAAAAAAAGCATTAAAATTTACCTTTTTCAGGTTTTTAAATTTTATATTTTAAAGGTGATTTTTCTTTTTTGTTTTTTTTTTATGAATAAAATTAATTTTATTTATAACTTCTTTTATTGTTTTGTCCATCATATATTTTTAGTAAATTTTTTTTATGAATTATATAATCCTTTATTTTTTTAAATAAGGGTAAATATAAAGCTTAAATTAACTTTTAATACTTATAATAATTAATGCTATTTTTCTGGATTTAATGTCTTTTTATTTTGTAAACCGAAATAAATTTACTCAGAATTAACCTTATACATTTAATATTATATTTTTCAATGTATTGCAAAAATTTATCTTTTATTTAATTAATAAAATTTTTTTTAGCCCTTAAAATTATAATAAAAAAATATAATTATAATAAAGTTATATCTAGTTTACAATTTTTATATATTTTGCACAAAAATGATAAATAAAAATATATTTTTTATAAAAGGAAATTAATAATTAATTTAAAAAAAAAATCATATAAAAAGGTTTAAATGATATTTATTAAATATATAAAAATAATATAAAATTATTAATTACAATTATTAAATAAAAATATAAAATATATTTTTATTAAAAAATAATATAAAAAAAATTAATATTAAAATATTTATTTCAAAATAATATATAAAATATTTTTATATAAAAGAAATTAATTAAATTTAAATAAAAATAATAAATATTTTTTGCAAAAAAAATAATAATATAAATTATTTTTTATGAAGTTACATTTATATTATAAATTTTTAATATTTTTTTAAAATATGTATAAAAAAATATTCTATAATAATATTTTAATTTAATAAAGATTTCAAACAATATATAAGAATATTTTAACTTTATAATATTCTTTTAATATATTTTATAAATATTTATCAATTTTATTATATTTTACAAAAAATTTTGTAATTTACATTATAGTAATATCAAAAATTTATTTTTTAATTTTAATCCTATAATAAATTATTTGATTAAAAAAAAGTATTATTAAACCAAAACAATTTTAAAAAAGATACTGAGAAAATCAATACTAATACTTTTTCCCGGTAAAATTTTATAATTGTAAATAATACTAACACCCCAATTAAAAACAATAGAAAAAATAAATAAAGCTGCATAAAATAGATGAATTTTAAAATACTTTAAATTAATAAAAAAAGTAAAATAAAATAAATTGAACATAAAATGAAGCACAAAACGTATACAATACCATGAATTAAAAAAAATTTTCATTGAATCTTATTAATAAAAAAATATAATATAGATCATTAAAAAAAAAATGAAATAGCAAAACATAATTATTAGGCGTAATTTCTCAATTGATTATATAAAAAATATTAGCTATACATAATGTCACTATTAAAAGCAAAAACTAATTATACATTATACATAAATTTATAAATAAAAAATTATTATAATTAATGATTAAAATTTTAATTTCTTTTTATTTGATAATTATTTATTAAAAAATATAAATTAATTTATAAAAATTATTTATGTTTATTTATATATATAAAATATATATAATAAATATTTTGTATATTGTATTTATTTTAAATATATTAATGTTTTTTCTATAAAATATAAATTAATAAAAATAAAAAATTATATTTATAAAATGATAATTTATTTAAATGATTAATGATGTTGATTGGGTTGGGGGTATGTTGGGGTTGGGGTTAGGGGTTGGGGTTGGGGTTGGGGTTGGGG